TCAGCAGTGGTTTGTGTTACTTCTGTAGCAGCACTGCAGGCTTCTGACACCATGAGGGGGTAGATACACCGCAAGTTCATAGGGTACACACAATTACAGAGGATAGTCCAGTTCTACTGTCTTGTGGCAGGTATTTTCTTTTGTGGCTGTGCAGAATGACTGCCAATACTGTTCTCTATGCTGTCTGTTGGTAGCTGGGGGAAGGACAGAGGAGCTTTTTAGTTCATACATTGCAAGAACCAAAACTGGTAACAAAATGCGTATGGAGCTCCTTCTCCACTCCTTGGGAGGCAGAGTCCTCTGAGTTTGGCAGCTCATCCTTCTCTGATGCCTTCAGCCTCCCTTTCCTCGTTGAGCTGGATGCTCTGTGCCTAGCAATGCTTCTGCTCTCTATGAGCAGAGACTGCAGGAACGCTTCTCCTACTCCTCACTCATCCCCATAGCACTGACCATGCTAACTCTGTAGGGGGGGAAAAAAACCCCCAAAACCTGGATCCTGCTTCAACCTTACAGGTATTAAAAGCTCTAGCTTTCAGCCATGAGTAATATCCACTCCTGAGTTGTTCGCGTTAATTTGTGCACGGTTGCCACAGGACCTCCAATTTAACTTAATAACAACCATATTTGGCTTTTCTTTTGTCAAAAGCTTGTGAGTATAGATGAAAGAGCAAGAGACAGAATAGGGAAGAAGAGAAAAGAACTGGCTGTCACTCTGCATTTTCTTTTTCTTCAGAGCACATACAAATACACTGAGGAGCACACAGTAAAACATCAAATATAAGTCACTGCCTGAGGTGAGAACAAGTTCTTATGTCAGGTCCAGCTCCCCAGGATGACAGTCACGACCTGCACCCAAAGGCCATTGCCACAGGTCAGTCTCAGCATTGAGTTTTTTCTGAAACCCTTCCGTAGTTCACAAAATCACCTGAAAACATCTCAAGCCACAAGAAAATGGATTAAAGATTCAAGTTTCACTGCATGTTATGTCTGTGTTAAGAAAAGCTAACAGCTTGTTTCCCCCACAGGCAAGGCCAGAGCTCTGGAGCCAGCTGCTGGCAATGCTGTGTGGGCTCTGAAAGGTCTCCAGAAGAGCATACACCATCTGCAACAGCTATGTTTCTGCAAGATCCCAAGCAGCTCCTGCTGTTTTTCAGGGCTGAGGAGTAGCTTTGCTGTGGCTGTTACCTTCAGCAAAATGCTGAAGAGCTTTAAAATGTGATACCGCCATTGTTCTGAGTGAATCCCGAAGCATCTTTTTGTGTGTGCAGAAAACAGGTCGGGATATGTTCGTGGTGAGCAAAGACACGTCTCGGGCTTGTTGGGACAATGCAGCCTGTGCAAATAACTGTGAATGCCTACAGGCATACGTGGGGAATGCACGGCATGACTAGCGTTGAGGAAGGGAAAGCAGGATACTTTACTCATAGTAGGCCTGGTCTACATCAGTCAGCTGTTGTAAGTGTAGCAGGTCTGCAGTATTTCATTTTTCTGTGAGACTCAACTTTTTGTCTGTCACGTGCACAACGTTAAGACTTCCGATCCCCTTAGCTGTTGCTTCTCTTTGTACATAAGGCAGGCACTTAAAAAGACTTCTAGGACAGCAGTTAAAATTCTTACCTACATTTTTAATGAAGTTTTTTTCAAAATAATCTGCAATTTTGTTGTGTTTTGGTTTTTAGCCTTTCATATGAGAAGACTAGAAGCTGGCTGGTGACCTGATTATTTACTTGAGGGAATGCAGTCTTGCTAGAGGAATCTCTACAGCAACCTGCCTCGCTTCACCAAGGTAGTCACAGTCTCTGCACAGCCGAGTTAGCAAAGTGCAACGTGGCTGACATTCACCATACCCACTGCCACGGAAGCGCTGTACAAGAACTCTCTGGTCCCCGGCGCCCCAACCCATAGCTCCTAATTCCCCAGGCAGTGACACCTTGTTTGCACAGCACACGCTGCCAGCTTTCTGGAGCTGGCAAACAACACATAGCTAACAACCAGCACGGTTTTGTTTTCAAAGTATGTTTTCAAGGCAAGAGCTTCCAAGATTTTTATCTTTGTAAACTGGGTGCTTGACTTGAGTATTGATCAGAAGTAATGTGTGACAAACACAGGGAATGCCAGAGCCCTTCCATTTCTGGACATCACGTTTCTGGTCAGGTTCTGCTGCAGGCATCCTTTGGCAATTGCTTAAAACCAGACCTCCGGGATGTACGGGAGGGGGGCAGATTAATTCCTTGCACCTTTAGAAAGACTTTTGAACTAGCTTGGAGGCCTAAGATATAAATCTACAGTAATCATAACTTACTCTTGGCTTCACTGCCAAAAACAAGTATAATGTTTGAAGAATGCCAGCTTTGTAAATAGTCTCCTATTCTCAGCTCTTAAAAGAGCAACTGTGTAATTTTTTTGTGATGCAGCATTACTTTTTCAGACAGTTAGCATGACACAAGACTAGAGAAATTGGATGCTGCATTGTTTCAAAAACTAGCTGCTTTAAAATCTGATAATCTTAAAGTGCTTATTCAGTGAGATCTGAATAAAAAAAATTCTAATATTAGATTTGACTTTGAAAATCCAATAGCATGATAAATTTGTTGCTGTTACACTAAGGTTGTTTTTTGCACCAGCTACTCTGAAGAAGGCTCTCTCTTTCTCTCTTCCCACAGGAATTCATACTTCACTAGGTGAAACAAGTATCTCCGATAGCCATGAGTGTTAGGAAGACCCTTGGGTTCCCTTTCTAAACTGTACTGTAGGACAAAATGCATTACCTTCACAGTGCATGATTGCTTTTACACAGAAGTCAACAAAACCTTTCCTATTCTCAGTGAAAACAAGTCTCAGACTCTTGAATTCCTACTGATAGGAGTGGCAGCAGAACTGGCCTGATGGGATTTCCTCCATACATATCTTTACACTTTCTTTGCCAGTGGAAGTGATCAACTGCAAAGTGATTTATCTGTAATGAAAGCGTGAAGGACAGTATCAGGCTGTTTTTGAACTACAGGGATAGAAGTTTTCTGCAGACAAATGGAAGGGGGAAAAAAGACATATTCCTCAAAGAGTTTCTGAATTCTTGAATCTTGTAAGAAGTCTTCACTTCATTCTCAGAGTAAATACAGTATTTTTCAAGCCGAAAAAATGTTCCAAGCAAATGTGATAAATGCAAGAACAGGGTGTTTTAATAGACTGCAACCTTAACCACAGAGAGAAAAAAAAAAATACTTCTCCATAAGAAAGCAGCTTGTGAGTGAGTAAACACAGGTAGATGAATTCTATGTGTGTCTTCAGTTATGGCTTGAAAGTATCAGTCCTCAGTAGCAATGTAAGACAAGATCTGAAAACTGTTCAGTGTGTTCACTGGCCTAGTGTAACTGATTTTTTTTTTTCCCCTCTAAATTTTGAAAAACTGAAAATGTGAAATAATGTTTTTTTCAATAAGGTACCATTTCACTGAATGCTAATGAAGGAATAGCCTCTTTAGGAAGACCTCTTACAGGTTACTTTCCTTGGCTGGTGCTTTTCTGATGGCATCATTTTCTTCCAAGGTTAAAATTTGCCTCTTTTGAGGAAGAAGATGGGATTGAGATGGCCTAGGTAATACATGGGAAGACAATGACTTTGGTTAATCCTTACTCTTGCACATCAGACTCTAGATGAATGGTTCCAGCTTGACCTGTTCCTAAAGCTTCAGTTATGGCTTTAAAAATTGGCCTGGTCCTATGGAAGAAAGACCACCATGTATTAAAGCATTAATTAAAATTAAAAAGGTGAACATATAACAGTGCACAGTAAATGCAGGCTGCTGTTGAAGGGAGTGGATTTTTCTGCTACTTTCAGACCCCGATGCCCATAGTTGCTGATTAGAGGAGATGGAGGTCCTTCTGGAAGAGGCTGGTTGCTAATGGACGGCTTCAGTGCCTGAGGGTGCTGGATGCCCTGAAGTAGGAAAGGAACTTGTAGCAGAGGCTCACTACAAAGTACCAGATGTTTCGAGCCATCTGTGACCTTGCAATGAAAATGCGCCAGATGATCACAAGGAGGGTGGTGTTGAATGCATATCGGATGTTCCTCAGCCTGAGAAAGAGAGAGAGGCATCTTATGGAGGAAGACAAAACCCAATAAAAAGCTTGCTTCATTTGCTACAGGCCGTTTTGTTAGAAATCCCATTTACAAGTTGTGCTCGGACTTTTTGCCATTCCTATTTTAGTGAAGACACTGCGTCTACGATGTCCCTACCATCTCGCCAAGGACTGCGTTGAAGTTGTGGTATAGTGAATAGTTGATGGGATAGGTGGAATACCGATATTGCAAGACTCTCTTGTTCCATGTACTCTCATTTCAGACCAGAACAGACACTGAATACACACTGAGAGCTGTTTTCTTAATGATAGTTTAGGTCCAATACTTTCTGCTTTGCTTTGGTATGTTGGCTATTTTTTTACTTAGTAGGATTGGTGACAAGCTGGAGGACCTTTGCAAGAGCTGATGAATGAGGGTCTCCTTTCTGGTTGAAACCTTGCATTTAATGTTGGGAAATTACTCAATAATCATAAACGGTCTTCACTTTTGCAGTACTGCAGCACTGGGGGTTTGGGGTTTTTTTTACACCATATATTTAAATGGGGTTGTTGGGTCTTTAAGATGCTAATCATCTTGTCCTCTTTCTGTCAAGCAAAAACTAATGCAGTTCTCTAATTCTTTCCCAGTGTCTGACCAAAGAAAGAAAGCTTCATACTTAACATGCCCAAGACTGGTTTAATTTTTCTATGAGTCCTTTCCTTTTAAAAATGACCCTAAATGAAGAACTTGTTTAGGATTCCTTGCTATGGCAACAGGCTGTTTTATGCTTCTAGAATTAACAATGCACAGTGGTTTTCTTAAAGGAAACAACCAGAGTTTTACTCCAAGAGAGCTCTTCTTTCTCCTTTTGCCTGCACTTCTCATTAAAAGGGTTTGAGAAGACAGAAAGAGCACAATATTTAACTGAATAGGAGAAGGACAATCTCAAATTGCTCATTCAAACCCTCTTAACCTGTCACCAGGGATTGAATGCATAAACTCTGCACCAATTTTGGAGAGTTTTTGCCCATTCTCCTCAAGGAATTAGAAACTTCAACTTTAAAATGAAATTTAAAATCATACAAATGCTCGAAGGTTTTATGCAATATCTTGGAATTGCTAAAAAATTCTAGGAGCCTCATAAAATCTAAATATGACCCTTATTTTTCTTTTGTCATTCTGAACGACCAAGATCTTCTACATTCATGTATTTCTCTTATGCTCTGTAACTTAGTTACTTGGTCATCTGCTGGGAAGGCATAATATCTAGCCCCTGATAGTCAGTGTCATCAAAAGTCCTCTTTTTCTTACAGGATGGAAAAATGAAATACTGACAACCCTCTGCCCCAAGAAATAAGCTATGCTATGTTTATCTCCATATTATTCAACAGTAATTATTGCAATGTAAATAGAATAAATTTCCTCCAAAGCCATTCAAGGTACCCAGGAGCTCTTGTCCTTGTCGCTGGGTATGACTTACTTTCGTAAGTGCTGCTTTGCTGCCGGAATGCCAGCCATGTCCTCATTTAACAAGTACTTCTTAGCACCTAGGCAGTAGCTTTCAATGTATTCTGACCAGTGCAGCTGACGAACGTCAAAGTTGTATAACTGGGATTTAAGGACAAAGAGCGGAAGTTAAATGCCAGAATTCAAAATAAGTTCACTTTAAGCATCAATTCTTCATTGACCTTTGTTCCCGACAACACCCTCTCTGTTAAGTTCTTAAAGCCACCAAGTTTCCAAGAAGACATGGGCACTAACAGAATATTGATTGACAGCTATGAAATATGTCTTACCCAGGTGGGAATTCGGGCAAAGCAAGCAGAAATTTAGTGCTAGCTGGCAGAAAACAAAGATAAGTTTGTCTTTCAGGTGGCCATTTATGCATAAATATATGTATTTGTACGCACACAAAATTGTGGAAGAAAAATGGCATTCCACTCAGGCAAATGGATTATTCTGAAAACCTCCATGCAGCTTTTAATGTGGCACTGGAATTACGTGTAAATAAATGAATTGGACATTGAGTCAACAGGTGCTTCTGCATCAGTATTACTCTGTATTGTGCTGCATTCTCTCTCAGCATCTAGATCAACAGAAGTCCAAGAAATGGGTTACTTTTGTTTGGCATCAAAAAAATCTCATTGCAGAGCTAATTACCCCAGATAATTTCAAATGCTGACATTGGAAAAATTGTTAGCAAGCTCTCAGGCTGTTATCTGTCTATTAGAGCAAAGAGAGGATTTGTAAAGAGGAAGAAGTTTTGTTGTAGAGGATTTTTTTTTTTTTTTTAAATGAATGAATGAAGTGAATGGCATTTCTTATTTACAGCATCTTACAAGGGAAGATACTCGGAAAAATACCTTCACCCCTGCGCCAAGCCAGGCTGTTTGCCTTGGTGCAAGAGCTTTGGTATCAGACCAGCAATAACTTGAGCAGAGGGGGGTTAGCTAACTCTGTCAAATACAGGGGTTAGCTGCTGTGCAGATCCCGGTGTGTCTGTTAGATATGTACAGAGATGTGTGCTGCCCATACTATCTAGCTTGAATAGTGCTCACAACTAGTAGCAGTGGCAACGCTGGATGCAGCGCATTTCTCATAAGCAGCTTAGTAGGACTAAAACACTGTCTGGCTTGCACTGAAGTCCTTGATGCTCCTTTCTTTTTTTTTCATCTTCCTCATAACTAGTTCTTATCATACCACTTTGGTTTCTTCTACATCTGCTGGAGTCACAGCAGTGCCACTGCCCTTAAGAAGTTAGAATTTGCTGCATGCACTCCCTCTGCAGACTAGGGAAGAAGACTCCTGACTCTACTACTGGAAGTTTGCAAGAATTTGATGATGTGAGTGAGACTGGTTTGATGTGAATGTCTAAGTATCTCTTGGCAAGGAGATACTGACCAAAGGTGATGTCAAGCTTATCACAGATCTATTCTTTGTATTCCTTCAGTCTCTCAGTTACAATCCCATTCTTAAGGAGCAGTATTTCAAACTTATAAAGTTTACAACAGAGCTTGACATCCTGCAAAATAATTGCTCTCTGGGGACTTAAATCAAACAGGAACTTTTTCATATTGTTCAGGGTAAGATACAACGTGTTAACTAAGTTTCCTTGTGCAGCGCCCATTAAAACCAATGTGGATAAAAATGTCAAATTCTTTCAAGTGTTTTCCGTCTAGATCACCCGTGAAAAGCTACAGATTGCCAGAAAAGATGAGGGAGAAAGTGATGTTGTAAAGAAGCTTAGTTTTCCAAGAGTGAGACACTTAGAAAATTAGGATGAGAAGATATTGGGAATGCTACACAGGTTATCAGTGACTAATTAATTACAATGAAACGCCTCTGAGCACATATCTTTGCATTACCATTGATACTGTCTTCTTGGTGCCCCTGTACAGCAATGCTAGTTACCATGGTCATATCACCCCATGAAAGGGGATGCCTGAAATTCTCAGGGCCCAGAGCTGTGATGTGAAAACTAGAATTGACTGTTTCTTCTTAGAAAGAGAAATATCATGCGTCCATCATGTGCCCTTAGCTTTCCTGTCCGATAGGTATTCCAGTCTATGTAGCCAACCACCTGGGAGGTCACAAAGTGGCCACCATTACATACGATGCCTTTAACTTCTCCAACTCAAGGAGCTGAGTACAGCTGGGTCACTGAGGATGTAAAGTTATGTTCCCTTTGTACAGTCCATTTTGTCTGTGAAAACAAATCTAGATTGTTTATAGGGCAAATAGAAACCTGACAGCAAAAGGTAGAGAGCTGCCATGTTAACTGGAAAGACTTCAGTGACTGACCTGTCTCAGAAGAAAGAGCAATACACCTCAGGAGAAAACATTCTCCTATAATAAAAGGAAGGTTCCTGATAAGTTATTTAATTAAACAAGGAGGAAATAAATTATTTCAGGTTAAAGTCAATTCCAGTCATCTAGGCAGATGTCATTTGAAAGCTCAACAATACACCAAAAATAATTGCTGCAGATGAATAGAATTGGAGATTGGCAACCCGTATTCAGGAGATACTTACCTTTTTGTCCTCTGTGTTAAGGTGACTCATTAACATATTCATATTATCTGAAGACCAATCCCAGGACTGGGTGGAGAAATACTGTAAGAGCATCATAGACTTGTGCAGTCGATTGACAATCTTCATCATTCTGAAACACAGGAGGAGCATCATAAGCAGATAGGAAGTTTACCTTTATGTAAAAGCTGGTGTTTTGCTCTGTAGGTGTTTTCTTTCACCAATCCAGATTAACAGGCATTGCAATTCCTGATGAGCACTGCACTGGTGCTCACGAGGCTGAGAACTTGCTCAGCAAGTCTAACTGCTCCAGCTGAGGTCTTGAGCCTACAGCTACCCAGCTTTTATTGTTGGCTGGAACACGGGTGCAAACATGCACATCCCAGGGAAGGACTGATGCCTAACTTACTGGTCTGAACTAAACAAGGGTTGGAGGCCACATCACGTACCACGTGTGAGGCAAAGAGCCCATCTGAACTAGTATAACATCTGCACAGCAAAGGTATATTGCTTGCCTCCCAGTGTGAATACTTAAATTTCTGCCACACAAATGCTCTTCTGTTCTCAAGCCTGAGTTGGCTCCCAAAGCAAGCCTCTGATTTTTGGAGTTAGCTCCAGTACAGAGGTGACTGCACCTGCAGCATGGACAAGCTCTGAAGTCGATTGCTCAACTTCAATTTTCAGATAATGGCATGCTTTTCATATCTTTGGGTTTCTTTTATCTCTGTCTAAAAGAAAATACATTTGTTTTTCTCAAAGGCCATTCCTCTCTCTATACCATATAGTGGCAGTTTGGAGGGATTTTTTTGTCCTTCCTTATACAGGAAGGGTCTGACAGCATGCACTCCAGGTGGATGACCTTGAAGATCATCCAAATCCACAGGCTTTTTTTTTTTTGGTGGAGGGGGGGAACTGTCTGACAGTCTTCCTGGAGCATGAGTGTCCTGGTAAAGATGAAAGCTGCTTCAGGGGCATGGCTGCTAAACAGGGACTTTGGAAATGTAGGTTCAGGTCTCTCATGTGTCTTGGCCTTTTTTTATTATTCATTTTTTATATAAAAGGGGATGACAGTGATGCTGTCCTACCTTGCAGCTTTATTTTACAGTTGTCCAATGGTCATGAGTACAAAAGGCCTCTGGGAGGGAGTTGTTTTAAAGTGTGATGTACAGTGCTCGGTCAATTTTGAGAGAACACCACGTTCTCTCAGACTGGATAAGGGCAAGAGAAAGCAGTAAAAGGCTGATTTCTGCGGAAAACAGAGCTGTTTTCATGAGAAATTTTGAGCTGCCCAGAGGGCAACACAGTCGCCGTGACAAATAAAAGGCAGCGGTCTGGGCAAGAATGGTGCCAGGCTGGCATCTCCCTGTGCAGATGCGACTGCCACGACGACAAGCACCACGCAGGGCAGAAGACGACACAATGAGTGCATCGATTCAGGGGAGAACTGTGCAGCTCACCCAAAGCGAATTGAAAGAGCACTAAAACCTTACATCGCCACTCCTATTCAGAATTTAAGTGGCTTTCATTTTAGAAGCAAAGCGCACCATCAGATTAAGGGAACCTCCATTCTGAATAATTATGTGTGCATTGACTGAATGCAGTTTATCTAAACTACTTTATAATTACTTCAGATTAATCTTCCTGATTGTGCCTGTGCAGGCAAGTACTAGGGGGCAAAGCTTTGTGAGTATTTTAATACCTTTTAGGAACGTGGGAAACAAAGTATATGGCTAGATTGCAAAGATCTGAAGTTGCCCCTCGAACTGTCTCCCCAAACACCATCAATATCTTTAAAGTACTTAGTGTTAATGGAATCCATCAGAAAGAAGTGATAAGATAATAAACTGTATGTCCCTACTCACGTTTTGAAAATAGGCTAGCTACGTGGCCTTCTGTCAATATGGGCAGAATAAGGTCTGACTGTAGATCTATCCAAAGCATCATATCTGAGTGGCTACAGGTAAAGGTCAAAAAGAGAAATGAAGCGTCTGAAAAGGTAGGTATGAAAATTGTGTTTCTTGTTAACCGAGCTCAAATGTTGTGACCCCATTAAAAATATTTACTAATTTGGATGAAGGAATCATCTACTGAAAAATAGCAACTGAGTAGAAGCTATGGCAAAGAATGAGATGATAGAAAATCTCATTCTCCCCTGTGGAGGAACTGAAAGGAAAAAGCAAGTATTAGCTGTCACTGATAGCCTTATTAGTTACACTTCACAAATGCACCTTGTCTTCTAGAAAACTGTTTACAGCAATGATTTCTTTATTTGCTCCCATACTGAGCCTTGCATGGGCAGATTCTCAGGTGTGACAGATTGCCCCAAGAGACTACTAATGATATAAACCACATTATTTTCTAAGTCACAGATGGATGCGCAGCAATAACAGTAAGCCATTTAGGGCAGTTTTGCTAGACATTTGCCAATTTGTGTGAAATGAGCTAACACTTAAAGTAAGCTTCTCAGGAGAGGCAGTATATAAAAGTCTAAAGCTGAAGGAGATGACTCATACCTACCCTTTGGTAGATGGGGTACTGTGTGCGAGAACTACAGGAGGAACTACAACCGAGTTCCTCTGAACCACCCTGCAATTCAACTTAGTGAAGGTCATAGGCTGATCCTGAATAAACAGTACACATGCAAACCATAACCAGCTCCCAACCTATTCCATATGACAACCCATCACCTTATGATGAGTTGAGTGTGGATACCATAGTGAACTGAAGCCTGAGTCTTGGTCCTGGCAAAGAACTTTCTCCTTTCTGCTTGCAAATCTGGCATAGGGTCATGGAGAGAATTCAAGAAACTGCCATGGAGATGGCTTGTACTTCAATAGATGGGAGTGACAAGTGGGAAGAAAGTTAAGCCTAGGTGCTGTGTTTGAAGCAGATGGAAAAATTAAAGGGAAATATTAAAGCAGGTTCAGTGACACATTCAACTTTTTTTTTTTTTTAGTGTGGTTTACTGCCCTTAGACTATAAAGGTCTGATATTTAGGTAGCTGTGGAAAAAAAAAAGAAAGAACGAGCTGCTACTATGCTTTCTACCACATTACAGCAATACCTGGATGAACTTTAGTAGTATGTAAAAAAGCAAAGGGGAATTATATTTAAAAAAAAAAAAAAAAAAAGACTTGGTGAAGTCACAAGTTCATTGCCGAGTCGTGTTTGCTCGAGTCACAAATCTTAGAGTTCAGAAGAAGATACTTTCTCAGCATGAGTCCATGCTGAGCTCTATTTGAAATTTAAGTATGGTACTGTGGCCAATGTCCATTGGCTACTTATGCCAATCAACTTTATGAAAAGAAATGTCAATTGGAATGGCAATGCCAAGATCTTACCGCTGCATGTTTCAACAGAGTTTGGAGATCCCAGCCTATTCTTGCTCATATTCAGTTTATCTCTATTTCTAGGGTAATTCTTGCCTCATGGATAAGTGGAAGTCTTTTCTATGGGCCAATTTCCCTCTGTAGCAGAATGTCAGAGAGAAATCAGAGCAACACATCAGCCAGGGACTTCCCTGCAAACAGCTAAAGCCATCTTTCTAACTAGCAGAGGAGTACAGAGCAGCTGACATCAACAGAGTGCTAGCATACCTTTCTTGTGTTGCACAATAAATTCTCCTTTGTGGTGGCAGGGAGTAAAGGAGGACATTGGCAGAGTTATGTTACTTACACTAGGATTCCTTCCACATGGGACATGCATGTTGTGTGTTCCTCCCAGCCATGACACTGCCAAGGCTCAAATACCAATTGTAATGGTAAACTGTCCTCGTAAATACAATTCAGAATTTATTCATACTCAGAAACAACTGCTTCCTAGATTTCAGGGTGCTGGGCCAGTGCTGGCAACTGCTAATTATGCATCTGTTTTATGGGAAAAAAATATTAGCTGGAATGTTCTAAACCTTACCAGTCTCAAGTCCTTCTGCAAGCTCATCACAGGTAGAGGCAATCACATCAGAAAGTTGCAATGGTGGAAATCTTGCTATACAGAGAACAATATAACTATCGTTCCTCTTCTTCTGACTTGGGAACCTCTGAAGTATGTAAAGCTGAGTTTAAAAGACGTGCTGTCCCCCAGGTACTGGAAAGGGTGGGAAGCCTAGTCTACGCTTAGCTATGACCATGCGGTTCCTTTTCTTTTTGAGAAATCTCCTCAAGACAAGGAGATGGGAAGAAGACCAGGGACTCCAGGCTGAGGCAGCCAATTCTCAGAACTTACTAGAGACCTGCTCTCCATAGCAGTGGCAGGTGTGCAGAGGCGGAGGGCGTGCAGTTTCTTACCTGGGCTTTCTCCCCGTAAGCCTCATGTACAGGTCGTAGAGTATGGCTGGTGCCTTGTGACTGACAGTTACCCAGTACTGGTTTATCAAGTAGCTGGATGTCATATGGGCATTGGGTATTCGGAAGGCCTGCTCCAGCGGATTCCTTTTGAACGTGGACATGACATACTGCCCTGTAAGGGAACAGGCATTTAACTTAAAGTCAGGCACTTAATTTCAGTTGAGTTGGGCACAACCATATCAACATGCTGCAGTAAAGCCCAAGTTACAGTGCTTAACATGTTTAACCTACAGTTCTGCAAACTACGCAACCAGGGGTTCGACAAGATCATCTCATGCGCCCTTCTGGCATTGAAACTGACGACTCCATCTATTGCCTATTTGAAAGGCAATCTGACTCTAGACTTAATAGTGGCAGACAAAAACTTCCTTATCAAAACACCAAAATGTAATAGTGGAAAAGCAAGCAGTTGTAGCCTGAAACATTTCAAGGAACTACAGTTCTGCTTTCCTAGTAGAGGTAAAGGAAATTGATAAGCGTTGCTGTATCTTCAGGTCACTGAAAGCAAACTTTGATCTGCTAGCACAAACCAAAAATGACATTGCTCATTTCTAATCAAATTTTCAAAAGGGCTGATGTTAATATTAGTCTGAGTCAGGGAAAGGTTGCTTACACACATAGAGAGCTGCCTCTTTCCAACCCTATCTGACCCACAACACCGAATACCTCAGCCTGTTTCCACAGGAGCTCTGGATGCATTTTAAAGCAGCAAATTGTCTTGCATTCTTAACAACTTGAAAACTAATGATAGGGCGGCAATCTTTCATTCCCTTTGTATGCTAAGGCACAAAATATGTTGGGTCTGATTCTGAGCTCTTGCAATGGCACAGTGCCACAGAAGTGGCATCTAGATGTGTATAGCTGGAGCATTTGTGTAACACAGAGGCTTAATAGAACTGCAGTAGTTGCATATAAGATTATCATCCTAGAGACTGATAAACAGATGGTGCTCCTATTCCTGAGCACCAGTGAGCTCAACAAAGAAGAATATGTGGGCTTTTTTTACTTTTTTAAACATGAATTTGAGAGTTACGACATCAATCTGTGCTCATTTTATACTTTACTCTCTAAGATTATGTTACAAATAGAAAATCAGATTAGAATTTGCAAGTCACAAGAAACATCCAGATCAACCTCAGATAAGCAGATTCCAATCATAATATTCAGATGTTAAGCTCATGTATCTGTGGTTGGCTCATTACTGCACTTCAAGTAGTGACTTTCGCTGTACTTGTTCTAAGTAACAGCAACTAGAGGAGACTTGTTAGCCACTTAGCTGCTAAGTTTAGACAACAAAGACTTTTAAAGTAGTACAATTTAGTTTTAGTGCAAGTTCATTGTTGATTTTTGTGTCCTGTAGGCTGCAACTTTAATGGCTGAAGATCAGTTCTGGAACTCATGTTGCATCTGAATAGCTAGAACTGACTGCCATCCCTTCTGTTTCACATAGCCACACTCCAATGATGTGGTTATCTTGTGGTCAGCTTGCGGGCTGCGGTATGGAAATCTTATCCTTTGCAGCGTGTTCTCTCAAAATGGCACGAATTAGCAAAAACCTCCTATTTAACTTTCCCATGTAGTTATGCCTGGCAGGGAGGGCTCGCTGGGGCGGTTTTATTGAAGATTTGGAAAGGTGTTTACTGCCAGCAGGGGAGCAGTGGTAAACAGTTTGGGATGGGCTACTGGGAAGGAAGCCGTGGTCCTGGCCCAGCTCTTGGCAGAGTTTGTGTCCATCTAAGCAGTGCATGAGGAGTTTCTTTCCTCTGTGTTAGCAGCACGGCCATTTACTACCATTATACTTCGACAAAGTCATAGCTGGCCTAAACATAAAGAGATCTGCTCCCAGGTTGGAGAGAGCTGAATATCTGTGCCCATTCAATTAGCTCATGGATCAGGAGAGCAATCCCATGAACTCTGCTGCTTCTCCCCTTAAGGCAGTTTCTCCAAGATGCACTTTAAATCCCAGTTTATTTACAAACTCTCATCTTCTTATCAAGTTCAGTTAGTTCCATTTGGTCACTTCATTTCCTAATGGAAACCTATCAGTTTAACTGCAAACCACTGATATTTTTGGAACTGTGATAGTTTTGATATAGCCTGCAGCATGTATTTATAGTTCTGTTTATTCAAATCCTGATGTTAATATACTGCAGATCTAGTTTTCAGCTGTAAACTGGTTGAGTCTTCCCTTTGGAAACACATTAAAGACATTACTGCCCTTCTTTTCTCTTTGCACTTTTGGCATCTTTGGCCAGGACAGCAAGAAAGAACTTATTGGTAAGTGGAAAATGCAGCTGTTGTCATTTCAGATCACGGGCCATACACCAAATTCACACAAATCAGCACCACCCTTATCATCTTGGTTACTTCAGGCTTGTAGTGGAAAATGCAGCTGTAGTAAAGGAGCTACAGTGTTATGCCATGATATTATTTGGTGTAAGAAGCACGTATGTGAAGAGAAATTAAGTTTCCCCATGCTGAACACCATTTTAAAGCCTGCTTTGAGGCTTCGTTTTGAGCAGAAATTGCAAAATGTACTTGACAATTTCAGATCAGCAACACTTACATTGCAGCAAAGCAGAATATGCTTCTTCAGATTAATACTCAGTTGTCTGACCACATTTTTGTAATAGCAGGGAAAATAACAAGAAAGTAAGAAAAAAATCCTAAGGCACAACATTATTTGGAAAAGAAATAAATGAGTTAATGTTCCTTTTAATGGTAGAGGTTTGTATCTGGAGATCTGTAGAATAAATTGGTTTGCAATGGATGTTTAAGCATAAGCTCTTAAGTAGTCAAATAATTCTCTTCTAGATGTCTTTCTCCTCCCTCCCTCGAAGTTCATCACCTTTGTACTCAAAATTGCCCTATCTCAGTCACTTCTGCCACTTACCCAGGGCATCTTCAGTCCACTCTAGTCTCAATTTCTCTCTTTGATCTTTCTCTCCTTTCCTGCTCTCCCCCTGAAAAATCCCTATTCTGTTGGGTTCGCCTGTCCTTCCTACAGCTGGTCCTGGTGTTAAGTGTCCCTAACCAGGTAGCCCAGGTCCTCCTGCCCTGCAAACCCCACGTTTGATTTGCACTAGAACGCTCAGTCCTGCACCAGACGACTCCCATTCCCCACCCTTGTTTCTCAGCAGCTTCCAGTCTTGCTCTCACAACCTTCCACCTCCATGACCGGCTACAGACCCTGTGCCAGTCTGGCCTCCCCAGACTCCTTGAACTGACTCTCCTTCCCTCTGCTGATCTTGTGTCACCTGTACATTTGGATCAAATAGCTTCTTTCACGGTGGGGAAAAAGAAAAATTCTGAGAGAAGCTGAAAAAACAATGGAGGTAGAGACCTGGCATTGACTATTTCAACCTGAAAGGTTGGCAGAGCTAAACACAGTTGGAAACAGGCTTTGGAGAAGAGAAGGTGACAACTCAAGTAGCAGAGGCTGCCTCATGTGCGAAGGAGGGAACTGGTGGGTGAAGTCCGGTCCGTCTGTGCAGGGGCTGGACTAGCCAGTGGTAGCTCTTATTTAAGGGAGATCATGGCTCTGAAAGGCCTGTTGGAAGTGCGTGCCATGGCACTGGCTGCCTAGAAGCCAAATAATAGTGAGTAAACAGAGAAAGTAACATGAATGGGTTGAGAAAATCTGTCTCATATATAAAGATTTCAGAATGATGTGTATTCTAAAAAGAAATTGGTAGGAGACTGAATTGAGAATTCAAACTGGATGGCTGCAGTCATAACATCCTAATGTGATAAACCTTTCCCAAACTCATTTCTTAAACCATGTAACATCTTTAAGGGAAAAATTTTGCTTTTTGATACTCCATCCTAATTCTCTACAGCCTGCTGCTCTCAGGAAAACTGTGGATACAACATGTGGTAGAAAGAGCTCCACAGCATCACTCAGGGAGAAAATTTTGCCTTCAGTCCCATCACACAGCTGAAGTGCTTATGCAAGCTTCTGCTGCACCCAGATGATTCCATTGCTAAATCCACAGTTATAAGCAAGTAACAGAATAAGATCAATTACAAAGGGCTGTTTTCAACAGTAAAATTTCACTGAAAATGGGTTAAGAAAGGCAAACCTCAGGTAGCAGTGCTATGGTGGCTGTTGCCTGAAGTCGTAGCCTGTGGAGAGCTTTGCATTTACTCCTGTGAAAAAGCCACAGAAGATCTGTGACGAACCACAATGTTAGATCTCTCATGAAAAAAATGCCAGGAACTTGGTGTGATGTTCTCCCTGCTCAGCCAATTGCTGAAACCTCTTCTCTGCTAGATCACTTGATCAAATATCATGGTTAGGACATGAGTAGGGTTTTCAAACAAGCCGTGTTCTGAAAATGCAATTGTCGTCCGATTCTCTGCTGACTTGCAGTTTGCCACTTAAATAATGCAAAGACAAATACAAAGCAAAGGCTGAGAGGTGAAACACCACAGTAGTGATTTGCCAGCCTCCTGTACTGAAAGCACAAAGATATGAATGAATGTATAACAGAAATCAAATCAGGCCCTGCACATCTGTCCATGAATGTACTGACTGTATGTAGTATTTCACAGTATACAGCTGAGCCAAATTCTGCTGCTTGGCTTCAAGTGTGAGTTTTCCATCGTAAGGGTGTCAGGATTGTCTCCCTTTCTTTCACCCCCGCCTTGGAAGCACATCCACTTGAAGAAAAGTCAGCCATGAAGATAATTTGAATTCTTCCACTGACAAAATTCATGGTCAAAAGGTGAACTGTTCTTGAAGCACACCCATCATTTCAAGGTTTGCCTTCTCAAGTCTACGCCAATTATTTCTGTTTAGAATTTTCTGCACAGAAAGAGCAAGACAGGCTATTCTACTTCCATAATACACTAGTTTTCATTCACTATCAAGGTTCTCCAGGTGATTTCAAAACACAAAAAGAACCCCAAACCCAGTAACCCCAGCAATCAGAAAAGGAAGATGTTCCATTACGGCTATGCAGAGCACCTTCTCCTAGGATTAAGAGGCTGGTTTTCTGTTCCTTTTCCCACCACTTTAATACCTCGGTGCAGCAAAGCACGTAACTTTGCTAGGTGGTTCTGTGATGACACCCACAGTGAAAACTGAATAGATGCTTTCCTGAGCTGAATGCCCAGCACCAGGAGCTTTTGCTCACAGGACCCTCACTGACTGCAGTTGGGCCTCCCACGCGCAGTTTGAATGACAGACGCTTAATGCCGCCTAAATATAGGAAACCACCTTTTCAAAGCCTGGCTGAGGAATGCTATTGATGTTTTACATGTTCTAGATTTAAATTAAACCTTACCCATTTCTCCCCAGAAGAAAGGGTTGATTCCACCTGTTGTGCAGTTGTACACCAACAGGTTTTTTGGTCTGGAAAAGAGAAAGAAGTATTATTTTAAGGTGTGAAGAAAAGCACCCAAAGCTTTATTAATGGAGCATGAAATCTAACAGCCCAAGAAGGAGCAACATCAGGTCATTAAAAAAAAAAAAAGGCAGAAGAGGGCATTTTTCATAAACATGAAAACACAGTATAAAGTATGAATCTTTGATAAGATTCAGTCAGATTCTGTAAAGTATATGAAGTTAATAAAGACAGATGGGGTTTAAGAAAAATCACCCATATATCACTTATCAAATATTATAAAAACAATAAGGGAAGTGTGCATACTGACAAATTAATGATTCTTTTTAATAGTTTCTCTGAGAATATTGTAATTAATTGGCCCAAGCCAACCTCAGGATCACACTGTGTATTTTACAATCATTTACTTAATGGATATGATTTGTGCTACTTTTAAACTCCATTTGTTAGGGTAGTGATTACGAATCAATCCATTTCAACAAAATTCTCATTTTAGTATTAAATAAAGTTTGGTTGTTATTTGGGCATGGAACTAAACATAGATCATACTGGTTTTATTCCTTCGTTCGATGTAAGGCAAGAATTAGTCAAACAGCCTTTTCGATCTAAGCCTGCCTTGCCCAGGGTGCAAGTGATGGCATCAATACAGCATTTTTCTTACTCTCCATTAGCAGTTGGAGCCATCTGCCAAAATGCTAAAAGAAGTGAGATCTGGCCTTGAACAGGGGATGCAGTTTGGCTGGAGGATACAGCATCTCAGTGCTCCCCAGGCGCCTGTGGTACTTGGAGCCTTTCTCCACTGGAGGAGGCTGCCTATGAGGAACCTCTCTTTTAAAAACTCCTGTGACTGAAGAGACCAGGAGACAGAACCCCTAAACCTGCGATGATAGAAAATCTTGCACAGCAATACTTGAAAACTGCGTTTGGATTCTGCACAGTTTTAATGGTGCTTTTTTAAACAATGCTTTGAAATCATGGCATTTGACTGTGTATTACCATTACTACTAATCGCTAGCAGGGATTCTAGGGATGGTTAGGACTGATAAACATGTGTTAAGCTCTGAATCCACACTCTTCTGTAACTCTGAATTGCTGAGTAGCAGTCTGATAGAGTGTTAAACATAAAAATGCTCAGTAATGCTTAGTGTGGGAAACTGCATTATGGAAATCAGTACTGCAACTCATTAAGGACTAAATCTGTAATATGTGTCCATATAGAAAACTCACCCAGTGCTGAGCTATATGCACAGCCTGATGGAAAGTGCACTGAAGTGAAAGCATAGGCTTCCACTTACTCCAGTGGGTCAGGCCCGTTAAAGACCAATGAAGAGGATTTCTCCATTTTCCCAGCTTTCAGTGAACAGTCCCTCCTTGTTGATTTTTTTCCATTCTCCGCCCTTCAGCTGAGCTGGTGACCTTGGTGAAGCGTAGAGCTTTGTAGAGCTTCTACACTACATAACGAAGATTGCAATTCTCTGCTAAGTTTTAGAATTTAATTTCCCTCAGTAACGTCACCTGCCCTGAAGGATACTGACTTTCTAATTTGATGATTTGGAAAAAAAATTAAATAAAATAAAAAAATTAAGCCATACATGCTATTCTTCAAGACAGCACCTAAACCTGAAACTCTCTCAGAGAAATCAAATTTACAGAAGGCTCAGGCTCTTGGTTTTTTTGTTTACAGATCGCTAACCTTGAGGTTGTGCCCTGCTAGACAAAGCTTTAAATCAAGTTCTGCAATTACTCCTTTAGCCTAATAATTATTTCTGTGGGAATCAGATTAAAACCATGTATCTTTTGCCAATGAACAATTAGAAAGAATGGCACTTCTCCTACCATGGCCAGAGCCAGGAAGTCTACCTGTGTGCTGATACACTTTCATCAGCACACGTTCATCTCCTTTTCCAGCTTTATAGACAGGCTGTAGACCTCTTCATCTGGAGGCTCTCAGGGGCGGGTTTGTGTAAGGGGAAGCTGTATTTATTTTTCCTGGACCATGCTGCTTTGCCTGTTGCTGATGGAGAGGGATGAAACGATGAGAAAAATAAATCTGAAAAGCTGGTGAGATGCCTTTTAGGATCCTTTTAGGATTCCTGTATTTAGGTTACTGTACATAGCTTTTCTCCACCCTCAGTTCAGAGGGCTTACTCTGTCTTTCAAAGTGAAATATTTCTGCCTTTTATTTGCCTGGTATTGATTTCTCAGAGTTGCATAAACCTCCAGAATAATTCATGTGGTTTACTCTGTAGCACTAATAATTAAAGGTCAAAGGCAGAGGTTCACAGAAAAAGACCTTAAAATCTTAATGTCATACATACCTTTCTCAACAATGCAGATAATGGGATTTTTTATCTCCCCTATCATACAAGCCCATAACATATTTATATTGTGCAGTGTTTTCCAAGGAAAACACACAGAGTATTTTCACCAAGAAAACTCTAGAAGCCACTTGAAAAGTGACTCAATGCAGCTGCCTGAGAAAGGAAGCCCCAAAAAACCAGCTGATGCGAAGCTGCACTAAAGCTCTTGACTTTCAGAAAAGTGACTTCTGAGAGACACTTGTCAGCTGAGCCTACGTTGTACTGAGAAACAGGTCTCACCTGTAGCTTTAGAGACTTCCTAACTCTAAAGCCTGCCTTTATTGCTTCTGCTATACTCTTAGCCCTTGCCAACCCGGGGTAGAAAACATGAACCAGAAAATGAATCAACAAGGCTCTTGCACAGGTTTTCAATTAGCTTCTGGTTCCCTTTAAAGTCCTGGTGCAGGCAGTAAATGCCCGAGTCCAGCAGAAAGAGGAGTATCTTCCCACCTGTGCACAGCTGTGTACCACCCAGCTGCAAGGGTGAAGTTGATGGCGACGTCTACTGGAATTATATCTGCCACCGCTTCATTGTTGGCGATGACGGTCCGCAGAATCCCTTTGCCTGCCTGTGGGACAAAGGAAAACAGTCACTGACGTACGGCCATGGTAAGATTTCATCGGCTTGGATTGAGGACAGACCCGTCATGTTAGCACTTGTCAAGCCTGGCACCCGCTGCAGAAGATTATTTTGTTTCTGTGAAAACAAAGATGGATCTCATGTGGATCTCGCTGTTGTGCATTTTCAGAGGAAGCCTAAAACATGATGACGTCTGTGCTGTGTATAACAAGGAAAGCCGTGACTCTTGGTTAATTCAATATGAAATACCTTAAAAAAGAAACCCATTTGAATTTATCACAGTAAAATTCCCTGTGGTACCTGAAGTTTCACCTTCTTAAGCGACCGAGGCAGACAAAGTTCTGAGTGTCTCTCGAAGGCAAGAGTCACTTTGGAAATGACATCAACAGGCTTTTTGAAAAGTTTACTCCCTTTCCTTTGGATGTGTTCACACCCTCCTGTTTTCCAAAGCTAAGTCTGTTGAGCACAAAGATACACTCAAGACGTGGCCCCTGCCTTGAAGAGCTCGCCACCCAATGAAACTCAGGAAAATGAATGAGTGAAAATACACAGTACTGACAACTGAAGAGAAGAGGCAGGCAAGAACAGAAGATTTTAATTTTGCTTTGGTTAGAAGTACATTCATCAGGGGTCAGGCTCCCCCAAATACATATATTTAACCTGAATGCTTATCAAGGGGTTTCTCTGATGACCAATTAGTCTTTGGAGGTTCCACAGGAGAGACATGGCTGGAAGAGGCTCACATGAACAGATGGCAACAACATGTCAGGCTTAATCAGACAGGACAGTTCAGAAATATAGAAACTTGGAGGTGAAATGGGGTGAAGGGTCATTACCTGGTGTGTCAGATATGAGGGCTGAATAGAGCAATTAAAAAAAGAAATCCCAACAGCAGAGTCAAGGTTGCAGCCAGGTTATCTAGTATGTGTGAAATAAGATGTGATGAATTTGAGTTTGAAGTAGAAGCTGAGGACTCAATGAAAGAGCTGGGAGGATAAAAGCGCTACTGAAGCAAGGAAGGAAAAAAGCTTTATAATTTAGCTTTTATAATTTAGCTTTTATAATTTAGATCCATATAAAGTCAGAGGGAAGGACTGAGTGAAGGGGCAAAGAAATATGCTCCACAAATCCAAGAATATTAAAAAGTAAGGGCAAAGGAAATTCAATAGCAAATTCATCTTTTCTTCCAACCTGAGACTCTCATTGCATCATGAAATAGCTCTCCAGCTGTGAAAAATGAAGTTTTACTACAGCTTCTAGACAGGAAGTGCCTAGTTGTGCAAAAAAACCTTGCCTGAAGTCTGGGGAGAAGAAGGATGTGATGAAAAAAGCATTTAAGACTTGATATTAACTCGTAAAGCATATGCCATTGTCTACTGATAACTGGCGGATTTTCAGGGACACCACATCCCCTGTTTGGGAGGTGTTTATCTGGGTTATTTTGTTCCCTTTCTCTCTCCCTCCTTTCCCCTTCTACAATCAGATGGTTTTGTTACATTTCACAGCTTGCAAGTAAGGGAATACCACTTATGACTGATTTGATTTTCATGAGCAGTCGCATCTCATCCTTGGTGCAGCTGGCAGAGGAATCTCAGACAGAGACTCAGAGGCAACCACGTAAGCTTCCCCACGTGATTCCAAACATCCTCCTCAAACCTCTGCTGCCCTAAGCTGAACTGCTGAACTGCAGTTGTTCTTAGACATTAAAACCTTAACTTGCAACTTCAGTATGATTTTTTGTTTTGTTCCTACTACTGATTTCTCAAGGGGAAAAAAAAAAAAAAGAGCCAAAACGAACCAAAGGAGGCAATCAAGCTCAGCTATGAATTTTTCACTGCTGTGAACACATGCCCACTAGAGACCACTGTGTGATCAACAATCACGTTTTCATAGGTACACTAAAGAGCTTTTTGAGGTCAGGCTTCAAAACTAGGAAGTTTGATGGATGTGCTGCAAACATGCCTGTATTCAGAGCAGCTTGCAATGGTCATGCGCACATGAATGAATTAGAGATTTAATATATTGTGTATTTAATAAAGACTTCAGGTTTATGTGTTTTAAGTTACTTTTTATCTTGGAAATGGTTTGGTATGCCTTTATTGGGTATGGCTTGATTTCTATTTGTAATTGCTGAGGAATGTTTTTACATGTAATATGGACTGTAATTGAGGCATTTTGTCTCACTGTTCCATATTACATTCCATCAGAAATATAATTAATTTCATTCTAGTTTTCAAGCCACAAAGCTTCCCCCCCACAGCAGCGGGAGCAACTGTAGGCAAAAGAAACATATTTAGACTATCAAGAACAATTTGAACTCCCATATTTCATGAATATTAAAAAGAAATATGTCTATTTGTGGAATTAAATGATCAGACTCAAATATTATAGTGGTGACCGAGGGAAAAAACCAACACACAAACCATTTTGCAAGGTTTGGAGTTCATATTCTGCCTAGATGATCCCAAAGATCATCTGAGCCAAATCTGAATCTGAGGGTTGTTCTCCATATAGGATGAGCTTGGGTTAGAAGTTGAAAGTGAATATTTTAGTATGGAGGGGGATGATGACTTTTAAAAAAAACCCAACAAACATCACAAACACCAAAGTGCTTCCCTTTTGCTTTTTCCATACTTAATTCAGGCTAATAAAGCTACTTGACTAATATATACACTTTGAAATACAGTTGGCAGAGACAGGTGGTTGTAATCACACAACTTCCAGGTAATCAAACTAACACGTAACTCACACGCTTGCACATTCAAGGGTTAATTTGCAAACTACCAAACAGGATTTACCAATTCACCATATCCAAGCACATTAATTCAACACATATAATTATTTCCGCCCCACCTCAGAAGACCAAGAGTCTCTTGGGGTCCCTAATAACAAATACCTTTCACTTCCAGAAAGCTAGTACCAGCCCAACCATGTTCAGCAGGAACTGGAGGTGGTACGAGACAAACACTGTCTGTCAGCTCTGGCAATCCCCCGTCGCTTCTCCCCATCACGGAGTCTCTGCGACACGGCTGGCCGGGGGCCAGAGAACCACTGGACACTGACAACAACCTTGTCTCTACACCTGCACCTATTGTCACTGCTCTTTGTCTTTTTCTTGGTTAATTTTCTTGATATAATTACGTCTCGAATCGTCACATTTCATCCCTGAAGGGCTCAGTGCAGATGACACAAATGTCATTGTCTCTATTTCCTATATTGAAGAACCTCAGAGCTTCAATCTTGAACCAAAAAATACCATCTCCATTTCAAAACTATTTCAGTACAAGTCAAAGCTTTTATATAAAAGAGAAAGGAAGTTATTTACTACAGTGACCCTGGAATCTCTAAATCTTTACTTTCCACAGAGTTAATTTGGAGATAAAGATACAGGCTGGTATCTATGTGTGAAACCTGGCCTAAGTGAAACCACCCTTAGGTTTGCTGTCACATTCAACAGGGCTAGAAATTTTTGCTTTGAAGAAAGAAAATGTTAGTTACTGGTATGAGTGGCAATGGGTAAGCATAAAAATTATATGCAAGCTACAGTGTAAGTTCCTAAAGCGGACACTATTAAAAAGACTGATATATAGGCAAAATTTCCAAATACTTAACCATTAGGTGGTTTTTACTTGTTGACAGATTAAAAGAAAAATGAGGTGAAAAAATGCCTTTTTAATGACAAAAAAATTGATGGGCATGTTTTTATATGGCTGAAAGCATATGAATTTGGCCTGTGTTTCATAACGTGCTGGCATATAATACAGGTATGGCAGCAACTTGCTGTCATTTGTTACTTAGGTAATATACATGCAGAGAATAAAGAGCAATGCAATGGAAATCTTCTGTATAGCATCCTTCTTGCAAACTGACTCTGGACAAATTTTTGTGGCAGACATTTTAAATGCTCAGAAGTAAGCATTTAAAAAAAAAAATCAAAACTCGCAGATATTACAAAAGTTTGAACCCGTCACATGAAAATGTAAGGACTGGATCTGCAAAATTAAGGAACTGCAAAATCTTTCTTTATCGTTATAATGACAAGGTGTCATGCAAGAACACAGAAAATGACACAAGATGCTGTGAGTGGAGCATAGAGAAGCAGTCAGTACAAGCTTGATGAGCAGTCAGCAATGAGTAAAAGGCTGATAAACAATTATTTTAAAGACACTGTGAGATGAATAGGGGCTAATAACACTTTGTGAACACAAATGAAGTGTTTGGGAGGGCTTTTGAATGTCTCTGAAATGTGTACCTGGGGTTTCGGATAAAAGCATTACCTGGGATATATCCACTAATTTTGCTAGTCCTGTGGATTCTAGAAGTAACTGCAACAGTTTCTATTTATGCTCTACTTCAGGTACAAATGAGCTTTTTTAACAAGATGATATTTGGATTTTATTCTGCTGTCCTATGATTGTAGACTACTAATCCTTTTATACACTGCATCAGGCTGATTAGAAGATAGTTTTTACAAAGTAATCAAGTTGGACAAATCATACATGACCAAAAATATCTTCCCATAGCTATACAACATTATGCATTGACAAATAAACCTGAGGCAGTGATTTTGGTTCAGAAAAAAACAAAAAAAAAACCCCAAAAAACCCAGGAGAAGTGGTATGCAACTTTACATTCATATGTTAAATTGTAATGATTTTTTTCATATTACAGGGAAAATTTTATCAAGTTATTCATTATTTATCTCATGAGTTTGTTCCTCACCATTTTGCACAGTAGTTATTTACACCAGTGTTCAGTAAGAATATAGTGAATTATCCATGTGACTGGCAGAGTCTGAATTGATAGTTACACACATTATCTAGATGTACTCTGCACATGGAGAATTCCTGTACAAAGCAATGGCAAATGAGACCTAGAGTCTTTGTTATTGTAAAGTGGTCACAAACTATAGCAGTGGACTTTTAGAAATAATACATATGAAGGTAAATGAAAGTATAAGTAATGCTGCCTTGTAGCGGTAATCCAGCCTGTAAAACTAAGTTCTAAGATTCAAGCTTTGACACCTGTGAATTACCCTTAGTTTCATCGATGCATCTTTTTCCCTTTCTTTGAAAATTTGGCCAGATTTGTCCAAAACTAAAAACTACAATTCTCATTTAGTGAACTAGCAACATGAATACTCTTTCATGAATACGCTTTTTTTTGAGCGCAGCATAAACAGACAATCTTCTGGGTCCTACAGGCATATAGATGTATGGCAAGTGCATGACATCTTTCTACCAGATTCAGAAAACTGCTATCATCCTTTTTTGCACACAATTTCTAAGTGGGGCTTTAGAGTAACTTTAGAGTTCTATTTTAGTAATTCTAACTCCACTTTAAGAGGAGCTTAAATAGTAACTAGACGTACCGCAATAAATATTCCACTCGTCCCGTTGAAGTTGTCAATCCAACCCTGCAAAAAAAAGAAGAACGATTACTGTTTCTTTCAGTGAGACGTTGCTTACGCAGGCTTCGAAATGGTGAAAGGGCTGTGGTGTAGACAAAGCAGCAACGAGACAACAGTGAAGAGGTATGCCAGCCCATGTAGGACAGCTGCCAGGAAGCTAACCAGTACGAAGTACCCAACTGATTTTAAATAGGGATGCACTGTGTGATACCTCATACTGTCTGCAATTTACCCATCAACAACAGAAACAAATTTCTGTTTATAGAAACCGCTTCTTTCCCATAATAACTTGGCTACAGGAGTAAACTCTGGCTTTAAACACTGCAGCATCTTGGTGCTGTCACACTTGCTGAAAACAGTCCGTGTGTTAGATACCCTCTAACACACAACGTGAAGATGTCACTGAGAGTTATTTGATTACTCCAACTATTTCTAAGGCAAGGAAGAAAAAAATACCATTCCACTTTTGAATCCTGTCCTACTTCAGGTCAGGGAAACGGCCACTTGCGGGAGCTGGAGTTAAAAGCAGTGATGAACTGTCTGACCCAAAATGCGTTATGACACCTAACAACGGAGTTCTCTGTGTCTTTCCAAGATGGGGAGCTTGGCCCAGATCCTCGGCTACATCTCAGCCATCTTTGGCACACTTCGAGCTGCATGAAAGCCAAAGGTGACTTTATGTTGCCTTTCCAATTTGGCTGCAATCTTAGGGCACATTATTCCTACTAGTATATTTAGCTTAGTGAATTATTTCAGTCCAAAAATACAGCTGCATTTCATTACTGTGTGGCTGACATTTGTATCTGCAACAGGCCCATACAAGTGTGAATCCAGTGACTTCAACAACTACCAACGTAAGACAGAGACACTAGGTAACTGCACATGACATTATCAAATGCTTTCAAGGAACACATGAGGTCTAGGGTGCTCATCAGGACCTCATTAATAGGTTGACTAGACCATGGAAAGACTCAAACCAGAATGCACCAGGACTACGACCAACCCTCAGATCTTGTGTTTCTACAATTAGTAGAAAAACTCCCCTGTGTGTCTGTCTGGGCACGATCCCCTGCGTGCAAGACTGTCAGTCGCAAGTCCAGCATTCTGCATCATTATTATCCCAGCAATTCTTATTATTGCTTAAAAATGTTCTTTTCACTTGCAGGCATCCTGAAGATGCTGAAGAAGGCTTGCTGTTCTACTTTAGCACAGGTCCTCCACCTCTTCCACACATTTCCCTATGAACTGAGGAACCTGTTTCTCAAGCAGAAACTGCTACAAGTAGGGATCAGTTCCTGACAGTACTGCAGCTACAGCTGTATCAACGGGCTCTCGGTAGGGAAATGCTGTGTATTCAGGCTTACTGGGAAAGGCTCATGCCAGCTAGCTCCCACGATGGATGGCCTGATGATAGCAATGTTCAAGTTGCCTTTCTCTTGCTGAATCAGGTATTCTGACAAGGCTTTGGTGTAGGTGTAAGTGTTGGGCCAGTCCCCGAGCAGCTTGGGTGTGATGTCTTCAATGATAGATTCATCCAACCACCTACAGGAAACGAGGAGAACATCATTATCTGCCATGCAGAGAGAGATTAGGCAAAAAAGACCAGTGAGACAGGAATCCTTGCCTGAAACAAAGGATAAGCAAGTCAAAGGCACTGAAGACAAAGCAAGGAGCAACTGGTTTGGATTTAGAACAGCTCTGTGAGGGAAAGGTTACTTTTGTCTTAAAAGTGCAAAACAACCCTGGTGGGCTTCATACTATGATGTCCAGCTCAACTTCAGGTACCTATACAATCTCATTCTAAAGCAATCTCTTGTGTGCTGTGTGCTTCACTGCAATCTGTAACATAGATATAGCTGAGGTCTACAGATTGATGGAGCTTTCCAACCTAGCACTCTCACTAGGTAGCGCTCATCCTTAGCCAACAGTCTCTATATAATCCCAAGTACTCTTCAGGAGATTCCTGGTAACCTTGAGTTACCAAGTCGAGTAGCATTACAAAGGTCTCAACAGCTAGAACATCGTACTACAGTGATATTATTCCAGTAGAACAATTTACAATGTTAGATGCTCCTTCTGACTGGTTTTCTACTGGCTTCTTCACATAGGTAATTAAGAAATTGTCAGCGCTAGCTGCTTAAAAACAATAATAAAAAAAAAACCCAACAAACACCAAAACCCCACAAACCCACCAAGTTTGGGGGTTTTTTGGGGGGTTTTTTTGTGGTTGTTGTTTTGTTTGTTTTTTAAGGTATTCAAATATCTAATCCATCAGAAGTAGTTACATATATACCCTTAAAAGAGTGTCCCTTACCACTGCGGTGCTGCAGCAAAGGCCTAAGGCTCAAAGGCTCTGCCCTGGCACACCATCAAGGCTTCACTGGTCCTGCCAGCACTTGGGTCTAAAGGACAGGAATTGGCTGTACTTCCAGAGCCCTTGCACACCGCTGCCAATCCCCAACAGGCTTTCAGCGGTCTGGTGTTACACCACAGAATCAAAGATTAACTCTTATAATCCAATTTGTAATTAAGTCAATGGACTTATAGTTCAGACTGAATGGATATACTCTTCCCAGGGGCATTGCAAGGATACTGGTTCCTGCAGATCCTTGCTTCACCCCTCCTTATCTTGAATTTCAGAAACAGGTGGAGGTCAAGGGGAGAGGAATAAGGTAGAGACTGTCACACCTGGAAAATTACTTGATCATATCAACTTAAATGTACAAACACTTGATGGCTCAGGTGGCACATCCCTTTTCAGATGGCTCTCATTAGACACAGATGGACAAATTACAAGAAAACTGTTGCATAAGAAAACATTGATTCTCCAAAACTGCAAAACAGTTTGCAGGGGAGGGTTGAATTCAGTGAATCTCTCAGTTTTGGAATGACTTAAAAAGAATCTGACAGTTTTCGCTGTATAGAAATTATTATTTTTAAATTAAAAAAGCCTTATGGAGGCATAAATACTGTCCTTTGCCGCCCCAGTCCCATGTTTCAGAAACAAGGCAGAAAAATTGTTTAAGCATAAAATATGAAGTTGAACAATGCAGAGGCTATAAGCAGCAGACAATATTGACTTGATTTACAAAGCCTGTTTAGGCAGCCATTGAACCCAGCCTCCTCAGGGTCTCAGCTAAATTGCCATTGTTTGATTCTGTCAAATAATTAATTACTAGCCTACCAAAAGGAGATGTCTATTTCTGTGGAGCCTGGAGGAAGACTAGGTTCATTTGGGAACTCAGATTAAGCTGCATACAAATCTCTTTTCATCCTCCTTTTTTTTTTTTTTTTTAAATACTAGGCGCTTATGGGTTAGTGTTTCTTACAAAGCAAAGACAGGTGTAGAACTACAAGGAGGAGCAATTTCCCTCTGCCCTCATCCTTCCAGACAGGCCTCTGCATTACTATAAGTGGTCATCAATAGGACCATGCTCTTGCCTGTCTCAAGGGTACCATCCTACCAGGTGATTTGATCTACCAGCATTACCATCACAGGAGCGCTGAGCTGACAGTTCAGCGAGGAGAACTGCTCCTACTTTTCCGTGACCTACTTTGAAGGTTTTGAAACGCTAAATCACAAAGCTACTGCTTTTGCTCACTGCTGCAGTTGCCCCGTAGAAACAAGAGATGCAAACTAAACAATTAGTAACCTCTTTTTTCACCACGTATACGCACCAAATTACTCTGCCATAAGAAAACATAACTTTCAGTGTTAATCACTTTGCATTAATAAGACGCTTGCTTTCTTGTAAGTGATGACAGATCTACATTTTCTACCCTAACAAAACCAGTTCTGCTTCAGCCTGCACTTCACTGTGTGCTGTGTTCCTTACCTCAGCACACCCTTCAAAGCTGATTTCCCTCAGCTTTAGATTAAGGCAAACCTTGCTTGATGTGGCAGATTATATATTTCCTCTATTGGCCTGGCAGCACTTAGAAGTGTGACTTTTGGTTTACACAGATTAAGCCTAAGGCTTTACTTGCAGGTTAAATATCAAAATACTGGAAAGCAGGGATATAATAGGAGGATAAGAACAGAAAAAGAAACAGCTGAGAGTCCTACTTGGGATTTCAGCTGAATATATCAAGCATATATCATGTGCATGGCCAAGAGCATCATTAAATGGATCTGTTAGTGCATCCAGTTGTGTGCTAGCTGTGAAAGCTTTCTTTCACAAACAACCCTTATCTTAAAGTGTTCTTCTGCAAGTGCATTAAGAGGCATGATCACACAACTGGATGCAGAGTTTTCTCTATCCCATTCTGCCTACATCATGTCATCCCAGAGACTTTCCCCATCCTGCTCCTTCCCATGCTCTGCAGCCCCATGCATGTCTTTCCTGTGTTGCCTTTGATTTGCAGAACACCTTCCAAACCAATGACCCTGGAGACAATGATTTTCAACAGGGCCCACCTGATTTCGATGCCTTTGAAAGCATCAACATGTCTTTCCTGTGAGCAATTATAATGCTACCTGCAAACACTGCAAAGAAACAGATGCCATCCTAGCTGAGGGCGTGCTGTGATTTCTGTATCACTAAAAGTACCAGAAGGTGGTGAACTTATGGAATATGAGACATAGGAAAAACAATAAAACAAATTGAAAAATCTAATAAAAAAAGCAAGAAAACTCATCTCTAATTATGTGGCTAAGAAAAAACAACCAAACATACTACCAAGATAAACACATCAAAGAACACATCTGAAAGCCCATCCTCTGCCACTCAGCCTTTCTTTCAAACACCATCCTCTCTGCTGCACATGCAAACTATGATAAATGAATTCCTAGTGTTTTATATGAAGCATCTGAAGTAGCAACCTCTGGGGCAGCCAGGCACTTCTGCACGCTTCTGATTAGCATTCAGTCCTTTGCTGTAGTCTTTTTTATCTGAGCCACCAGCAGTAATTGTTTCCAAAGTTGCAAGTGATGGTAAGCTTTTTGGGACAGTGAAATGTACTATCGATAGCGATGAACTCCAAAGGACATTGTATAACTGACTCAGTGGGCAAAAAGGTGGCAAATTAGCTTCACTGTAAATAAAGGTAAGGTAATGCATTTAGGGAAAAACAGTCTAAACTGGTGTTAGAGGTTGCTGAACTCGGAACTGGCAGTTGCGGCTCAGCAAGAGCTCTTTGAAGCACAACTGATAGGTCTATGAAATCTCCAAGTCAATGAGCAGTAGCAGGCAAAAGTCAACGAAATGTTGGACATCCTCAGGTACTGAGAATAAGACCAATGGTATCATTTTGAAGCTATTTAAATAAAACTTTGAGTGACCACACCTTGAGTACTCGTTCTGTTTGGCCCCCACATCTCAGGGAGGGAGTGGAGTTAAAAAAAGGCAGAGAGGAAGGGCAACTAAAAATCATCAAGGAGACAGATCAGTTGGCATATGAGGAGTCAGTAAAAACACCGGGACTCTTCAAAGTGCAGAAGAGAAGGTCCAGGGTGAATGCAATACAGATTTACAGAACTGCATAGGTAGTGAATAGGGCAAGTACGGTAGATGCTGCAATGCTGCAACTACGGGACGTGCAATGAAACTATTAGCACGACAGCTTGAAACAGTAAAAGAAAGCTTGTCTTTATCCAGCAGTTAGTAAACTTCTGGGACTTGCTGCCACAGGAGTTGCAGAGGCAGAGTACCAGAAAGTTCAAAAAGGGATTAAACAAATTAATGGATTCAAAATTGGGTCAAAAAATAATAGGATGTAACACCCCTCATACTACAGTTCTGGTTTCTGGGAGGCTACAAGGGGAACGGATTGCAGAAAGTATCCAGGCTTGTATAGCTACCCTGAACAGCATCTCCCAGTGCCACTGTTGAGGGCAAGATATTGGGCCAGGCAGCCCACTGCTCTAATGCACTAGGGCATCTCTTATGTTTGTATCACGCTCCACTCGCTGAATAATTGATAAATGATAGATGACTACTAGCTGAAGTAAACATATCCGAGACTGTGGGGTACTGGAAAAAATTAAAAAAAGAAATCACTGATTTGTACTAAATTTTCTGGAGTAGCTCTTAGTAAAATTACTATTTTTTTTTGGCAAACAATTTTTTGATATAAAACCTCAGTGGTTCTCCTGCTTGGCATTAATTCATGTCATCTCCCATTACCCTAAATCAAGGAGAAGAAAGATTTTATAACAGCTCTTTGGGTTACTAATTCACAAGTCAGTTGCTTATATCACGCAAGTGGAATATCGCTAGAAAATAAATGAAAACAAAGTTACAGCTGTGGGAAAATTCTTCTAAGGGGAAGGTGTCCTGGGGCCTTTATCAGCAGATTTTGTTATTCTTTCTAATTATTCTTGATTTTGGTAAATTCAGTTAAACATGTGTTTTTGTTGTTCCCTCAAAGTCCTGGATTCTCACACTGAACTCTTTCTAAAACAGCCTGTTTCTGACTTATCCCCCTATAACTCCAGTTTAATACTACAGGATTGTTAAAGTAAGTGGAAAAAACGTTGCACATCTGAAGAGATAAAGAAATGGATACAAGGTATATAAAAAATTTCAGTACTTACTAAGGTAGCAACAGAGCAGAGTCTTACAGAAAGAAGCATCACAACTCCATTCCTAATAGCAAATGCACTCATGCATGACTTTATTCAATGCTGGACTCCCATGAAATCATACAGTCTTTTTTTAAAATGGTGCATGGAAAAAATTAGAGGTAGCTGAAATCACAGCATTATTAAGTGTGGTTTATGCTATTTTCCAATACTTTTGTATTTGGAAAAGCATCGTTAAGCTCAACCAAATGCTTATAAAGCGTGACTTCAGCAGCTCTCCAGATAAAAAGGCTCCAAAACTGAGTGTCTATTTCTTCTTTTTTCAAAAAACCTCAGTAAAGCTAGTTTCAAGAGAAAATGCAGAAAGGACACATTTACTGGATGGCATTCTGAGGAAGTACCCCTCAAAACCACCTAGAATGAAAGGTCTCTCTTCCCTTGGTCTCACTCTTATTATGGCCAGCACTTCTTGCTGGCATGGTGCGTACAGACAAGGCCATACAGCAATAACAGCAACTATGAACAGAAATCATGGAATCATAGAATCATAGAATGGTTTGGGTTGGAAGGGACCTCAGAGATCATCTAGTTCCAACCCCCCTGCCATGGGCAGGGACACCCTCCACTAGAGCACGTTGCCCACAGGACAGGTTATACAAACAATTTGGAGGTCTTCTGCAGAATGAAGCATAACCAACGTCAGAAGAAGCGATGCAGTTCCTACTTACTCTACTAAATCGAAGAGCTTCTTGGGTTCGGCTGGGGGTGGGTAGATGATTTCGTCTATGCATTTCCGGATACAGTTTGCATAGGCGGTGGAGATGTGGATGAAGGCCTCGAGGTTCTGCATCTGCCGGGCCAGCTCTAGGAGCCGCTGTGTGCCCATTGCATTCAGTTGCAGGGCATGTCTAAAGAGGGCAGGGGAAAGAAACAAAAAGCATTTCACTGGAAAGAATATATCAAAGCTGAGAATTATCCAAACTCCAAATAATGAAAAGGCAAGTAAGGGAAGGCAAGGCGTCACAGCAGAGTGGAAAGCTTCAATGAAATGCAAGGGCTAAACCAGCTTTCAGAGCAATGGCTGTTGGATTTGCTGCTCAGGCCACCGAATGTCTCTCAAATATTTTTACTTAATTCAAAGGATCAGAGGTAACATTTCACTAACATCTCTACCTCTGACATATTTGCCACCCCTTCCTGGCACAAGTATTTCCAACACACATGACCACTGAGGCATTATTGGTTCCTATAGTACCCATTCAACTTTCTCCTTAAGGGACCACTGCTAAACCAGATGAACACATGGTTTCAGTAAGCAGCAAAGGGTCCTTGGGCCCAGAAAAACATATTCATACTGAAAGAAGACACAATTAGAGACAATAGTTTAAACTCCCAAGGAATGGAGATGAGAACTGATACGCACAAGAGAAAGAGAGTACTGGCTAGCAAGGTTGACCTTGAAGCACCCAACATAGCTAGAAGTTGTCCTAGAGACTATCTGCAATGGATGTCAGTGAACAGATGTTCAGCTTTGTTGCATGCTTTGTATTGGAGGAAAGACACTTTCATGCACAGAAGGGAAAAGCCCAAGGAATATGCAATCTGTTCGGCCCAGGAGTAGAAGCTTTCAACAACACATAGAAGATTATGAATAATGCTATCAAGTACAGCATACACTAAAGAAATTAATTACACCAAAGTTGAAGATAAATTGTAAATAGTCCAGATGAATGAAAACAGAAGCTGAGTATGATTAATGTTTGGATCACAATAGCTAAAGCCAGAGATACTAATTTTTTTAGCATGCTGATATTAAAGAACAGCATTCTGTATAGATTTCTATTTCCTCCTGCCCTTCTAGCAGGATGAATACTTCTACTTTAGCTTCCCTTCATATGAAAGTTACTCTTCCATACATATTTCTATTCAACTGTATCACTTCTGAGAGGGGGTGAACAGAATTGCGCTCAGAATACAGATCCAGCATGCATTTCTGCTGAGATGTTCAGAGTTCCTTTAGCCTTCTGAGGGAATATCATCTAACCCTGGTGATTTGTTACTCTTTATTTTTTCTATTTATATTAAAACTGCATCTACTAATATTTCAATATAACAGTTTCTCAGATTTCTGCCCTCAAGATTTCCATCTGGAGAATTCCCTAAACGTACTACATGTTGATGCCAATAATTCATTTAGTTTCTTTGTTGCTGCTTTTCTAGTATCTTGATAGCACTGCTTTTGCACGTCCCTTATATATCAGCTCTACATATTCTGTGGTAAGCTTCGGGCTTCTGCTGTGTTTAAAAAATATTTTTATTTTTTGTGTTGTTAGCAAATTGCTGCTCAAAATTTTTATTTGAGCTGCTGTACTGTGCTTTCACATTTAACTTGCTAGAACTTTTACCTATATAATGTATTTTATTATTCAGATAGGAATAATTTGATTTTAACAATCTCATATTTTGCCATTTAATCATACCGGATTTTCCTTGTTTTGTTAGAGAGATTTTGACAGATCACATGCAATCAGTCTTTAAATAGTTTCTACACTGCCTGCGAGCAGATGACCATTTTAACTTTTTCTTTTAACTTCTTTCAAGTTATAGTCCTTATTAAAAACCTAGTTTGCCTTTGATGTTACGTGCTACTGTGATATATTTTTATAGCATGTTCATTCATATATTGATTTAAGAACATTTACGGCGATTAATGCAGTGCAGTGCTTTGCTATGTATATCTTGAGCCAGGTTCTACACATGGCTCAAGATTAAATCAAGAGCTGCTTCCTTTCTGGTGGGTTCTCTAATTAGTTGTTGTAAAAAGCAATTATTTATGGTGGACACAGTGGATATTTATTTAGCCCATGCATGAGCAAATGAAGGCTGATAATAGTATCTGTGTTTTATACTCTCACAGCTTTAGCAGTTTTCAAAAAACTCTGAAGATATGGCAATCCAGATCATCCACCTCGGTTTTTTGACCATGATGAAGCACTTACACATCTAATCTTGGTTTAGTGGCTTATTTCTGCTGTTCTTTCTTAATGGAAAGCCTGCCTGGACAGGCACTCCCAAGGGAGCTCTTTGAGAAACTCAGCATTTATTGTAAACAGTTAATTACATCGAGTGCTGGGTATTTTAAAGCTCATGATAGGCTGTTTTCTTAAACAACATCTCATTTCCCTCTTCAGTTACTCAGTGACAAAGAAAGGCCGTTAACACTAACTTTAGAGACAGACACAACATAGTTTCACTTCAAGCTGTCTCCAGCTAGTTCTGCCAAAACATCTCCCTCTTGACCTAAAACACGCTTTTCCCTATCCCAATTTTAGGTCATACTTAACTCCCTTACTATATTACAACCCAAGCTTGCAGTACTTCCTTCTGTTCCCATGGAAATCTGCCAAGATACTTCACTTTTTGACGTGCATATGCACATGACATTTTCAGAGCACTTATATTGCACATTCAGCGCAGAACCACATGTAGCATGAAAATGTAAATGGAGAATTATTACCGGAGCTCTACAAGGATGCCCTGAATGGTGTGTTATGGGCTATTGTGCATTCTGAATCATGCTTAGGAAATATAGAAACCGGGACATACTTCAGGGGTTCATCAAAGCGAACTGTTGCTGCACCGTGGAAGACAACATTGACCTGGGTCAGTAGCTCCTCCTCATCTTCAGCACTGATGGCCAGCTTGGGCTGAGTGAGTTCAGCGTTAATAGGCTTAATCTTCTCGTGGAAATTAGGGCAATCTTCTCGGACCCTGTCAAAGACCTTGAAGCACAAACAGAGAGAGATCAGATACAGAATTAGGCTACTGAGATCACTTTGATTAGTAGCCATTCTGATTACATCAGTCAATGAAACTGGCACAAGAGAGAATGGTTCTTTCAAAGGGAGGACACAGGTGAGCTGATAAAATAGTTAATTCACTTGATTCCCTCCCATGGGAAGGTCTCACAGGGGAAACATAACAAAAATATAGGAGGTAATTGCCCTGAAGAGATGAACGAATCTTCTCTGCAGCACTCATTTCCTGGGACAGCCACTGAAATTCCTCTATCTCCACATCTCCTGCAACCACGCTCTAGGGCTGCTTGCAGAACCATAACAGGAGCTAAAGAGGAGGGCAGAGCATGGAGTGGGAAAGCCTGTGAAGCATTGGACTCAAGCAATTTTCCTGATGGTTCTACAAAGAACTTGAAGAGAGGAGGGGAGCAGGGCACATTCTGGCTCCTCCTCTTCCTTTGCTGCTCCTTACCTACTGTCACTCTTTGTTCATGTCAGATGAGTCCTGTGGGGAACTGCCTTTGGGATGAAAAGATGGGGAAATTCAATAACCCATACTGCTAAAGCTGCTGACTGCCACCAGCAATTTTGCATGACTGGACAAGTGTGCAGATAGTTGGCCTGTTGAGCTGTCTTCCAGCCCTTTTTTTCTATGACTGTGATCCAATGCTCTTTCCAATACATGTTTTCTGCCCAGTCTTCTGCAGAATGACAAGACTGTGCATCTGAACACTAAAAAGATCCCTACATTTCCATATATTGTTCTGATGACTTGTTCAAAACCAGCACCTGGCACCCTGCTTTGCCTAAGTTCCAAGATAGCAGGTACCCTGAACAGCAAGACAACTGTGCACAAACCTTCTGAAAGGAAAAGGACATCAATACTATCATTGCCTGGAAAATGCCTGTATGAAAACAGCAGTTCCTCAGTTCCCATTTTTACTCTGTGAGTAGTTCAGAGTCACTGATAACAATATAGCAGGTCTGGGTGCAGTTCCACTTGCACCCTGACAGCAGACGGCTACTGCAGGTTCCACCCGGAGACCTTTTATTTGGTAAATCTCACAGGTAAAGAAGGTGAAGCCTGAATTTCAAAACACTATGTGAGTTTGCTGGAGTAGGATAGGATTTGAAAAAAATCATCATGAATTTGGAAGTGTCTGTTCTAAGCGTTTTGTATTGCTGGCCATCATTGTTGTATTTGAGCAACTTCAACTAAAATAATAGTAACAGTGAAGTCCAAAAAGCTCTTCCCTTATGAGGGCAGAGTGACACCAAGGGTAGAAAGAATAAATAGAATAGAGAGGCTGTGGGATCTGAAGGGGCATAATCTAGATTTCAAAAGATAACCACACTTCAAAGGTAACTAGGCTATTGACAGGAATGACTAAGTACCGGGACAGATTGCTGACGGATGCTGTGGGCCACCACCTTTGGATGCATTTAAGAGCTGTCTAGATAAGCATTGCCAGGAAAGGCAGGGAACAGCTGAATCCACCTTGGGGCAGAAGTATGGGCCAGCTGGCTTCTCAGTAGACCTATTTTTTCGATTGTTTCCTCTACTCTGTAGCTTACTCACGAGTAACACCGAGTTTGTAAATCTCTTTACCGTCATAGCCTCTTGTTTTGCTAGAGATTGTTGTGTCTTTGATTTGCCCAGTGCTAATGTAGGAGTGGATATTGTGTGACATAAATTAAACATACTAAAAGAAAATGACATATGAAAGATTAAATTGATACCAATAGCAATATTTTCTTGTTTGACTAAGCGATTACCATCTTTCTGCTTATCTGACAATCAAATCTAGATAAACCTCGAAGCTCTTAGGGAAAAATAAGTGATAAGAAAATCATTAGCCTTCCCCACTATGCAGCACACTTTGTACTTGTATTTTTCTTTAACACACAGCTGCACATCCTTCATAAACCTGAAACTTGAGCAAGTTAACAGAAATTAGTAATCTCATTTCTCTCAGTTGCACCATCTACATGCATATTTCAGCAATGTACTCTAGGCTAGAACATAGATTTCTAGACAGACAAAGTTAATCATGGACAAAGATGTTGGTGAGAACCAGCTGGACTGTAGGTACTCAATTCCCGATGACTTATGTTGCAAACTGGGTACTAGCAGCATTAATGTCTGTAAAAAGCAAGAGTGGCTGTCCAAATATGCGTCATCTCATGAGAGATCACACATGAGAAAACCCTGATAGACACAAAATGGAAAAGGTTCTCAGAGAACCCATGTAAGACCAAAGCTATCTTTTAAGAGTTTTAGGAACAATTCTGCATTTGTTTATTCTATTGCAAAGACAGCGCAAAACTTCACTGTCCTGGTTTCAGCTGGGATAGAGTTAATTTTATTCTTAGCAGCTGGAATAGTGCTGTGTTTTGGATTTTGGATGAAAATAATGCTGATAACACACTGATGTTTTTAG